ACCACATAACTACCTAACACAACTCTAAATGTCATAATAGTTTAAGTTTAAAGTAAATTGCATATGTACGGCGTAAGGCAACCCAGTAATTATTGCCGACGAACCAATTTACGTCACTAGCCAGCCACATATCCCAGAGAATGCAATTATGCAATTAGTTTTATGAACAAATCAAGTTACCTACATGCATTGTGAACTTTTGTGTTACAGTTCAAGCCACTTGGATAGAATGGCATGATGAGCATAGAGTTACGAAATTGTTTTAGACCCTTTGACTAATCAGAAAGTGGTCAATTATTATCCAAACCACTGGCCTTCCACCAAGAAGGCTTAATTGCTTCTATTATAATACTGCTAGTTAACCAAAGAATCGACTTTCATCAGCCTCAGCCTACTTATTTGGAAAAGGGCCAACAACAATCGAACAAAACGATTTTTTCAATAATTTTAGAAACCATCGATAAAAACCTCTTTAATTAAAACCCTAGCGAATTCGATGCGATGCCAACTTACAAATGCCAATTAAAAAGAAATAAAACTTCGTTCAAATTCGGAACGCAGAACGAAAACAAAAGCGTATTTTAAAAAATGTTCTGATTCGAACAGAATGGCGTTCCCTGATGGTAGTCAGCAAACAATCTGTGGCCCAGTTGCCTACGGGCCTACAAAATATAGCGTAACAATCGTGTCAGCGCTTCACTGTGTTTACTCGTCACTGCGGTTGTAAATTGCTGAACATTGTAACTGGCGATTAACAAGAGATTAGCCCGCGACGCGAATAAAGTCAACAATTTGACGCTCTTCACTTTTGAGTGACGCCGCGACGGTTGACGCATACTAAACGTCTTGTTTTCCGGTTGAACTTGATATATTCAAATCAAAAGTTATATTTGATAAACACAGAACTCGAGACATTTGTTTGACACAAACATTGTGTTCCAAATCCCTAAGCAGTAGTAAATAAGGAACGAATGAAACTTTTCAGCCCCCAGTGGTTTCAATTCAGTAGAGGTAGGTAAAGAGATGTTTCAATATAAAACCAAATGCATAACTATGTACCTACATCGTTTTGCTACCATTTTAATATTCTAGTCTACATCGCCAAAGGCAAACTCAACATTGAGAAGGCAAGCTGTAAGCTATGAAAGTTCCATTTTCGAATGAAAATTTTTCTAGTGCAACCTGCACTTCGCGGTTCTATTCACGTAGACGTTCAAATGATATTACTTAATTTATCTCGCTTACAGCTTCGTGGTAGTCAAATGTGTTTTGAATTATGTCTAAAATATTTAATTTATGTATTTTAGACTAACTACAATATCTATATAGATAACGTTATAAAGAATCATACTGTTAGTAAACAATTAAGACCTATAAAAATATTATGACATTCGAATTACAAAACGAAAAATGAAAACAAAACAAAAAAATCTCAACACAAATTATCGTAACCGGCGTGGATGACGTCACACGCACAAGATGGCGGCTTGCGATCATGTGTGGCTAGAGTTAGGTAAGGTGCAGTGACCCCGACCAATGTTAATGTCAGCTGTTACGACTGCCGCTCACGAGATGTATTGACGAACCATGGATTTATTACTTGGAAGTCAACAAAACTTGACATTAATTTTAACTCGACACAGCTTACGTAGAACGGGTTTCTTTATTTGCTGAAGAAAGCTTATTATAAGTATAACAAAGGACAACCATTGTTGCTTTTTTTAATTTCACAGTCTCCCATAGACACCACAAAGATAGGTTAACGAACATGTGTCACTTTTAGGTTTTATTTTCAAAGCAATAATATCTACCGTTGATACCAATTTAATCTTAAACAATTTTCACTTGTATCAAGAGCTCAAGACGTAGAGAATTGCTCAGAATTCACAGATTTCATTTACAAATCGAGTGCTATCCGTGTTGATGACTCTTAAAATAGTGAAACTTAATATACTGACGATGATGTTGAACAGAACTTCCTTCCTTTTGATGTAGTTCAACTGAATACCTATAGATCTAAACATTTAGGCTAATGCCCTAGTGTTCGTGTAACAAGCGGAGATTTAAAACAATTTCGTGTATGAGGCATTTCCGCAGGTAACAGATTTGGCACAATTAGCTACGAAAGTAAAGAAAGTGTTTCATTCGCTCACAATCTGTGGAACAGCTCAGCTTCGTATTATGTCTGTTAGAAAATGTACGAAATGGCGCTAAACGCTTCGCATTGTTCGACGACGGGTAGGGCTGCCCATTTAATCTTTGTTTCTCTTCATTTATCATGATTTTAAGCAGCTAGGGACGATATAAACAGCTTCTCTTTTATTAAGACGATCCTTTGATTTCCCTCGAGCACATTTTCAATCTTTTCATTTTTTAACAACCCTAATTTATCTTCAGATGTTACAAATTGCACCGAAATAGAAAAAGTGACTAATGAAACTGTCCACAGCGTTCATAACTCACTCGGGCCATAAATGAACAAGCCCAACATTGTGGTAGGGAGAGCAATTAGAATGAACAAAGCATATTTGTAGATAGCACTTGACATTATTCTGTGCTGGGGTCTTGAGAAACGTCGTAAAGTGGAGAGCGGGCACAATATGACAGCCCTGTCAGTGAGCGGCGAGGGTGCAGTCAAGCGCACTATATTATATTCCGAACACAATGCAGTCTGCTGCCGCTGGTACACGCGAACGCAAAACGCTTCCGTGCCAGCGTTTAAGGCTGCTAACTAGCTTGTACCGCATACAGCCGAGAAAATTAATGGTGGAGAGGAAGCTAACCTCTAAGCTGTAAAGTTCAAAATAATTATCCATCATTTACTTACGTTGATACTTGATACCATGTTTAGGGAATTATGACTATTGTGATTCTATTTACCAAAACGAAAAAAGATTTTTCTCATAGATAATATTTGTTGTAATATTGGGTTTTATAAGGTCACCTAAAATACGACTACCTTATTGATAAGTGCGACTGATTCAATCAGCTGCACCTGCAAACATTTGAAGACTCCAATATCCGAAATATTCTGTACGGAGCATAGTATCTCCTATTAAAACTTAATACATATTGCATTTTATCTTAATATTTTTTGTCAGTTCTTAAACTGAAACCCGAATATATGTAAAAGCTAGTAGCGTTACTAACAAGGTAACCACAAACTTTGTGTGAGGCGTGAAAATGGTTGCTCACCTCCCTATATTTGAAGTTACACCTTAATTACTTGGAAGTCTGCGGTACTCAGGAGCCGTAACAAGTTCCACACATTTACTGCACACGAGACTCAGCTTACGAACTTTGTGGAAACTCTTTACACGTGCAAAACTTCTCTTTAGTAATCAATTTGTTTTGTCTAACTACAGAACTTTTGATAACTTCTTAGTTTTCATGTCAGGTAAGCTAACACACACAGGGCTCGTTAAAACTTGAAGTAGGTACTTCATCTTCATCTACAATCTATGTAATACCAGCTGAACTATCCATAATTTTATGATAACTACTAGCTGAGCCCGCAACTTCGTCCGCGTGGAATAGTGATTCACAACTCCTCCCCCATAGTTGATAGCATGATAATATGTAGCCTATATGTTGACCCGACCTGTCAGTAATATTCATGCAAAAATTTAAGTAAATCCACATCATACAGTCAAACAGAAAAAAAATCTAAAATCCATATTTTTGGTTTTGGTATCGACTGTATACGGTATACTGACGGTATCACGCCCCAAGCATTCTTTTAAAAAATATTCGATGTACAATTTTCACTTTCCTACGATTTTATTACCTATGGATAAAGATTTTCGTAAATAAGGGTTGTTTAAATAACACACATACCTCGTCCCGTTTATTTACCAATGTGAATAAGATTACCATCATGTAAATAACGAATATAAATACGACACAACCAGGGCGAAATTACCAAAATCAACAATCTCGATACTGACACGTGTATGGCAATATTTGAATAAGCCGTTTTGACTGATAAGCCGTTTTGCTGACGAATGGCTTTAGGCTATAATAGAGTTTCATTATAATAAGACTTAAGAATAGTAGGTAGGTATTTTTTGCAGAAACCTCAACACTTCAGGACTTTAAAAGAACTACTATAAAAAGAAAACAAAACAAAACCGTTTGCACTTTCATTTAGTAACGAAGTATAAAAACTCGAAGCCCAAGTAAGGTTAGCGGTTGTAACTTTTTCACTCGCTTGTCCAAACTAAGAAGGGAAGTTGTTACCCTAGTCCGTGTACATCGGTTACGGTACACAGCCTCCGTTCTTTATCACCGCCATTGTTGCCGACACACCACACAGAATTAATATCTAACGTATTTCTTGGAGCACTTGAGAAATTCACTTTCACGATAATGTTCGGCTAGATAGTTTCTAAATGCAAGCGTACATTGTAGCATCTACAGCTAGAACACTATCTTTATCTTCAAATTCTGTCGTTTTTTTTATTTATTCCGTTTTTTTTTTATTTTCAACATCAATCTCCTCTTCGTATATTCCTAAAATACACGCGGGAATAGAGCATCGACGATTCCTTTCGAGAACGCGACTGGCAAATATAGTCTATTTGTATTCAAATTTCATTTCCAACCAAATTGAATTCCTCGTATTTGCTAGCAGTATGATTGTTTGGACAATCTTGTTAAGACAATTGAGAAATGTATCGTATCGTGTAATATGTAGACTGTAGCTCTAATGTTTGCCGTGGCCCGTATGTCTATTCACAGGTATGACAATTAGGTAAGGGAAGTGGGACAACTCATTATATCTGTAGGCGATGTGCTTGTTACTTAGGTACTGTGTCTAGAAATCTGTTCAGTCGGTGTGACAAAAACGTGGGCGATATCGTCTATTGTGTTATCTTTGTACATTATTGGATTCTGTGACAATTGATATATCGGACTGAGAATGTTAATGTATTTTATCATCACGCCAGTTTTATTGTTTATTGTTCACGTAGTAAAGTCATATTTTTCCCTCTTTCCAGATCTCATGATGAGGTGTCTGTGATCGCATACTACATCGGGCGGGTGCTACGCCTTCGATCACCATGACGTCCGAGCGGGCCATCCCCCATCTGAGGGACATCTTCGGACTAAACCAGCAGTACGACGGCAAGACCTTCGACGATAATGATGACAAAACCAAGAAGTCCAGGAAAAAGAAGGAAGACTATCGTACGTACCCCAACGGAGACGTGAAAACGTTGGAGCGACACCTCAGTATGAAGAAGACTATCAGGAAAAAGATCATGCGTGACCTTCAGCAGGCGTTCGTTGAAGACCCTAACGAGTTTAAGGTCGAGAATACGAGCCCTGAGAAACTGAAGGCTGAGTTGAGCGCTGAAGCTGTGAAAATCGAGAAAAATGTTCGTAAGAACGATCCGACGTTCCTAGACATCCTGCGAGGAGAGACGCGGGGCGAGGAGGCGAGGGAGGAGCAGCCACCCGCCGAGAAGACCAGCTTCTGGCGGCGGCTCACCATGAAGAACAAGAACAAGAGATAAGACGCGAGCCGAGCCCGCGCCTCGCTCCGTACCGACTCGCGACTGACCTGACCCGGTAGCAATTACTATTTATTGTAAACTTTTTGATCACTGTATTGAGCGTAACGAACATTTTTGATCATATTTACATAACATTTTATATCTGTATGCATAATAAATCTATCGTTGTATTGCTTATGAATCCTTCTAGTTGTTATAATAGAGTCAAATGTTATAAGCTTACGAGAGATTTCTGATAGGCTACGCGCTAAGTTATTTCTAAGTTTTGGTGGGAACGGAGCGAAGCGTTACAGTATCCTCGGCTATTGTTACTTATTATAAAAATTAATATCTCGTTCTACATGTGATGTAACGTTAAGTCGACTAAGTAAAGTGTAAGTGAACTTAGGCTAAGTATTACGTAAGCGGCGATTGTATAAGGTAGGCTCGTGGCAATTCCTTGTTGTGACAGTTTTTAATTATTGTAATGCAATATAAATAATTTTACACATTTATCCGAGTATATTTTATTGAACTAGCCTCTTTAACCCTGCAATTAACATCTCTTCATTTTAATTGTAGAAGCTCTATTAAAATGAGGTATTTATTCTCTACTCTATTCAATATTATCGAAAATAATGTATCCCCCTTTGTTAGGATTTAATCTAAATAAGACATTAGCAAGCATTGACAATAAGTTCTATGTAGTCTGACCTACCTAATACTTACTAGCCATAAAAGTTCCTTGATTCATAGGGATAGTTGTCGTTTGGTTTTTAGTTTAAACTTTCAATAATTTGAAGTTCCCCGTAGTCTATTTTATTTGTTGCGGAGAACCTTTAGGGTTACCGGGGCTCCGGCTCGACGTGTAGGAGAAGGAACGGGGTGGTTTTTAGTCAGTAAGAGTCTGACACTCGCTCCCGCCTCACCCAGGCGGGAGCAAAAAACAATCTATTTTATTTGTTTAGCTACTTTCTCTGTCATGTTGATGCAAACTCAATAGGCTTTGTGAATACCTCTGTATTCAGGCTCTCCTGTGAACAGAAGTGAATCGCTGTTACTTTAATGTATAACAATCAAAGAAATAAGTAGATATTGAAATTCTATAAAAGTAGGTAAGCAATGACATTATAAGATTCAAACTTACATTGGTCATTGCATCGCCATCTATTGAGGATATTTGGGAAGTAAGTTTTACTAATGATGTGCACAGATGGCGCCTCTAACTTACATGCCCTCTAATTGAATAAAATCCAATATAAATATATTTCTCAATAATTATCGTTGCATCTATACCTCAAGTCTTTAGATATGAACTTAGTTAATGATTACAGTTAATAAACATGGTTACTTCTAATTTAACTTCTATGTTAATCTATCTTCTACATAATACTACTAGATGGCAGGGTTATAAATATTGCATTGGAAAGTCAAACATTCGCCAAGTCTGTTTCAACAAGTAACGCCATCTCTAGGAGCACTAAGTAAACAGATTTGGAAAGTTTGTTAATGTGTTCATAGATGGCGCTGACAATCTTTATTTGCAATATCCTCTTTGACCGGTCAGTTATGTAGCAGCTGAGATTATGCCGGTGATGTAGAGCAAAACAAACATAATTTATCTGTGGAGTTAGGTCCTTGAGAGCAGTTTCCAGATCAATAAGAGCTTGGTACCTTGTAGAACCTACTTATTTTGCAAAAAGTTGCTATTTCAACTGAAAAGTAGATCTACTATACGAGGTATTATTGGGTTAACTCAATTCCGAATTTGTAGATAATCCGAAATATAGAATTATGCCAAATATATTTTGCAACATATTCACTCCTAATTAGATAGGACATAAAGGACTTGTAACTGATGAAAAGTGCGTATTATTGTGTCCATTGCATTATGTGTAACATATGATGCTATACCTATATGTAGGTATGTCTAATTCAGAAAGAAAATCCACTCGTCACAAATCAGCCTTTAGAGGTAATTTTGTCATTTGATATTTAGATAGTTTCCGATTCGCCAATTAGGGACTTTTCCCATGATTTGCAAAAAAATCTCAATTACAAGCCGGAGCCTGGAATAGTGCCCGATGCTTGATATGTGTAATAATAATAGTAATGTACCTATTGCAATATCGTCAGCTAGACTTTTCTGTGTGGTTTTCGAATTCTGGATGATTTATTTTATTATATTTATTATATTTCTGGATGATCACTCTTCAAAAAAACATATTCAGTAACTTTCAATTCGAAAGATCGTAATGAACTCGATCGCAGTCCGCCATGTCATTGGTTGTTTGAATGATCTCGATATATGACGGGCGAGAATGCGATGGAACTCACTTCGAAAGTTCGCAGTATCTTGCAGAATAGCCTACATACATACATACTACATAACTTCACGCTCGTCTCCCATGAGGGTAGGCAGAGACTATGGAACACCAATTAGGTACTAACATTCCTACATACTTCTTTCGCTTCATCCATAGTCATCAATCTTTTCATGCATGCTCGTCTGTACTTTTAATTTGGCCCTTCTTTAATACCTATATTCACCTACCTAGCAGGACTCTAATAACATAACTGGGAAAGTGAATGTTACATTGTCGATACCTTATACCTACTTATCGAGGTACCCCCTTGAAAACTCAGATACGCATCATTGATATAATCAATACTTACTCTCCTTATTTTATACTCACGAATCTCCTTTTCTCCACTCCAGAGAGCCGTTCAGGCAAAACTCCTTTCAGCTGCTTCTCGCTTCAACAGGATTTATTGTAATGTGTGTGTTGTGTTGGAAATCTTTAGTTAATTTATCGACTTATTTCAAGAAGACTAATTTTTACTACTGCAGTAGTACTTTCAATATATTAAAAGTAAATTGTGTGTGTTGTGTGTCAGGAAACTTTAGTTTCTAAATATATTTCTTGTTATAGGGTTTATGGCATACATAAAGTCAATGAAACAAATTTCCAATGTGTCAAGTTTACTTTTGAATAAAGAATTTTAAGTTTTCTCTCTATTTTTTTCATAGACTCTATGTATGCTTTATGAACATCAGGATAAAAAATTCAAACAACAGATAGGTTTAATAAAATTCATTTATTTATCATTTTTGTACATTTATTATTTCATTTATTTATTTATTTTTTTACTCTACCACCGGTTCGGAACCTACAATCGACTGAGAAGAACCGGCAAGAAACTCAGTAGATTTGTTTTTTTTTTTAGAAAGAACGACGTTTACCTAAGTCACCCTATCGGGGAGCTATATTTTACAACTTAAAGCCCCATAAATTATACCCCACAGATAATTAATAATAGAACATTCTAAGAGAGGGCTTCGAAAGGGACTTTGTTTGAGATACTCGACCTATGCACTTAAAAAATCAAATTTAAAAAACAATGTGAATTACTTTAAAAGGAAGGGGAGCATGTCCTCTACAGTCTTGTAAGTCAGTTATTTGAAGAAAAAAATAATGAAAAATAAAAATTTTAACCCCAAAATCGACAGGAAATAAGGCACTTGTGAAACATAGTGGACATCTTTCTTCAGAAGATTTTGAAAATAGGTGAATTAAGAATCTTTATAAAATATTAAATAGTTAGACCGTACGTATAAAATTCTCGAGAATTTTCTAGCTACGTTTAATAAGATCGATTATGTCCCTGGCATTTTTGCCGGGAAAGTAAAAACTATTCAGGGGAGATCTTCAAAATCGGTAAGATAAGGTATTGAAATTTCAAAAATAAAATATAACCTAAACCATATCTAGAAGAACTAGACTGATAATCGCCAAAAATAAGAAAATTTAGGCCTACCTGACCTTTTTCTTTCGCTTTCGAGCTTTCGACTTAGCAACAGCTAGCCTAGCGAATTTAATTCGTCAACTTAAATAAATTTCATTCGTTTAGCGACGATTTCTTAATGTTAATCTATTAACTAGAATATTATAGATAATTAATATCTAATAACATCTCAATTATAGCGAAAACTAAAAGCTTCTCTTGGTAACTTCGATTATAGAGTTACTGCAAACGATGCAGTGTTGATAAAATGTCAGTAGGATCTAGGAATAGTTATCAAGTCAAGTCGAGTTGTAATAGTAAGTAGATAAAGTCTAAATTCTATTGACTAGAAATAGCAATGGTATCTATTGCTAGTTTAAAAAATAATTTTAATATAATAAGTCAAGTCGAAGCAATTTTGTATTCAAGCGGAACAAAGTATTGTTAAAATAATTTCAATAAAAAATCTTTGTCAATAAATAAGAAGTTAAAATAAAAAAGTCAATGTTGTTAATAAAATTTAAAAATTTACTGTTCAAGTAGAAATTCTTATAGTCTTAGGAAAATTAAGTATTTACACAAAGGGAAACAAAATTGAGACTTTGATTACTAATGATTTATTATAATCACTTTTACAACGATTTACAGAACGTCAAAGAATTGTATTTTTCAAAAATTGTAAAATATATTATTTTATAAAAACATTTTTTGTCAATAAAATTAAGAATTCGTTCGGGGACAGATAAAACAATCGAGACAATGTTGTCATATGAACATGATCAGATTTAGTACAAAAATAATTATAATTACTTCATTAAAAATGTACATAAATTATTGATTAAGTGTTCGATTTTCAAATAAGTAATATTCGAGTTCCTTCAAGTTGTTATTTGGTAGAGAATCGCAATCAAGGGCATGAAATCCGAAGCGAATGACTTTGCTAACACTAATATCCTAAAACTAGATCGTAATACTATTTACTTAATCTTAAAATTGCAAAGAAATACAGTATTCAGCAGCCAAAATTCTACGTCTAAATAATACTTCTAAACGTTATCAATATGTGGACCTTATTTAGTTATTATCCTACGACCTAAGTATAGCAGGAAAAGCCTCGCCTGGGAGTTTAGTAGTTTTAATCTAAGCCTGCCAACAAATTAGGCTTCTTCCAGATTCGTTTTATGGAGTCTAAATAAGAACATCCTGAATCTACGGCCTGTTTAAACCCTAAAAACCAGGGGCTACACTCCTACCTACCTAGTTCACTAACACAAGCTTATTGTATGAGTCGTCTACTTAATGCTATCATAGTCTGGAGATATCTTAACTACATTATACTGTACATAATTGTCGTACATAATACCTAACGAGTAATCTACCGTACTAGTCCTATAACGATTTAATTCTACCATATTGTAAGATGTCAAACACTGAATGTGATAAATATTAATAACATATCCTAGTCATAAAATAATCTAAGTCATCGCCCGGTTTATTGTGCTCACTCATAACTACACGTTACTCTATAAGATCTAATTACATTGGAACTCCTTTCTCTCAACTTACATCTCTAATTCATGTACTAAATAAAACTTAGTGATGTGAATGTAATACATAAAAACTATGAGAATTAACTATGTTTATAAATATATTCTGACCCCTCACTCAAATAATAGACAACGTAATTAACTTTTGTAAACTTTAAACATTGAACGACAAATATGTCCTAATACATAGTAAATCAGTTTCAGAAACATTTGAATTACAAAGATAGATATAGCTAGTGAATATATATAAAGTTATACCTAGTTTACCTAGATAGATAAATCTCATATTCGCCTCATGAGTTAACTGCTGCCAAGTTTTGTTCATAGACTTTTGAAACTAACATCGCTGCCTACGATCCGTTGGTAATAAGCCTGCCTGACGCCGCCAACATAATAATAAAACATCTGAAAAATTAAATAAGTTTGCAATAGTTAAATCTAGCTCCGACCTCCTTAGTCTCGGTGTTAAATGAATTTTCTAAATAGAAACGTAAAGGTGAGTTAGTAGAATTAACAGTAACGTAATACTAAGCATCTCCGGTATTAAATCAAGTGTATCTGTCCTCTACGCGGACCAAATGATGACTGGTGATGCGACTTTTGGACCATTTCAATGAATGGGAGGCATTATTATATTCTAACATGCTTTGTGTTTTGTAAAATGAGTGCTAATCGTAAAACTATTAGTGTGTGGTTTTAATTTAACAAACTAATTCGTTTGAATTATTATTAATCATATCCTTAATTCTGCTAATAATTTTACTGTCGAATGTAGTCGGTCATGTCATTTGTTACAAGTTGAATATTATGAGAACGAGAACAGACGCATACGTTGTTATACGCGCGAGATATCATTTATTTATTTGTTTATTTAACTATTTGCTTTCGACAATGTAAAACTTAGCAGAACTGGGCACCACATAGCAATAAAAAGGGACTCGACATGTGCCCAATGACGTTACGTTAGTGATATCGCAAATTAATGAAGAAAAATGAAAATAAAAACTATATTTATACCTTGAATTTAATTATTTTGTTCTAAATTACGGAGGTGTTATTAATACTGGTGAATAACTAGGGTCCATCCTGGGTCGTCCACGAAAACAAGTTGATTAATTGATGAAACTATGTGTTTATAGTTTTGTAGATGGGACAGGCGGCCATGTTGTAAACGACGGAACCTTACGGGGTCTGCAGGAAAAGCGATGGCATTAAATACGTGAACAGTTTAGTTTAGCTCCTGAAATAATATTAAAGTAAAAATATATATTACATAAGAGTATTTTAAAATATTACTATCATCGAGCAGTGTAAAATATATAATTATGTAAAAAACGGTGTATCTAAACCGATCCCGCTAAAACAGTGTGGTGTATTCTGAATGTATTTCAAGCGTGGAGACACAAATCCCAATGCGTAATACGAACAATAAATCTTTAAAAATAATATAATTAATAATGGAGATTAATTAGTAACGATAAGCGTACGTTTTAGAGGAATATGTACAGCTGTTAAAATAGTAAGTACATTTATAATAATATCACATCGCGCCCATGAAGCAAAAGAAATAAAAAAAAACGTTTCGCGCCAAATTGGACATAGACAAAAAAGAAACCCACGTTCCAAATTTTAAATTAAAATAAACGAAGAACACTTTTTGACATGCTACAGTTACAGTTGGACAATTATTTTGAAGCACATAGAATAACTAATTTCAATTCATTACAAATTAAATAAATAAATTAGAAAATTCAAGTAACTTGAACATTTCATGCTGCTCAGATTGCGTTAACGTAAAATATTTGGCAACTTTGAATTTTTTTACTTTTTAATAATAAATAATTTAAATGTGCTTTTAGGAAAATGATTAGGATAGTGCCTGTTCTACCACGATATTTTATCTATGTGTGCGTTTATCTAAATGTAATTGTGTGTTTACTATGTAAGTAATATTGGAATTATTAGAGTGTATAAAAATTCGTGGATGATTATAAACATCGTCATTGTCGTTAGTTTATAGTCTTTACCTACTTGAAATAAAATCTTTATGAAACCTAGAAATTCTATTGATACTATCCATGTTTATATTTTGTTTTATTTATTTTTATTTAATCAAATGTTCGGTATAAATATTTTTAAACTTTAGAAATATAACTTATGGGATTTTTCCAAATTATTTATTTTCGATAGAATGGATTTTATCAAATTCAATATTTGAATAGAATTGATTTTGGACAAATGTTGTCATGTTTTTATTAGCTGTGCATTAATTTGTATGCTTTTTTTCGTTATAAAAATTATTGGCTGTTATATCTTTCCAATTTCAATATTTAAAAAGCCTGAATGATTTCTATCTTTCTTTATATTAGGATATTTCCAACTTCAGACATTCCATAGATTGGGTTCAGGATCTTAACGTTATTACCTAAATGATTGCTCGTATATTTGATAATTTTTATGTTTTACAATATTTGACAAAATTAAATGTTTTTGTTTTTAGAAATATTATTGCCTTTTACATTTTTTTATTGTATCTTGTCAAGACTATACCAAAGTTTTAGTTTTTTGTTCTTTTAGAATTAGTCTAGCCTTTTATTATGTTATCGTAATTCGTGATTTTTATTATTTTGATAAATATTTCTTTTATTTATGTAATGTACCCTTCTTATTATTGAATGTTGTTGGATTCAATCAAAGAGATTTTACAAAATTGTTTTTTTTTTTTTTTTAAATTCAATATTTGTAATACCGTTAAAAAAGAATTCGTTGTATCATAGTATTTTTTCTATTAGGTAAGTATTTATGATTTTGTGTTTGATATTTGTAGAATATTTTTAGGACCAATTGTAAATAGGTATCAGTAGTATTTCCTAAATAACCATCAATATTTCGATATAAGAGGTTATAATTTATAAGTATAAATAACAAGTTATTTAATTCAACGAATCCCCTGTTTCTTTATTTTAATTTATTTACTTTTGGAGGTTTAAAATATATATGGAGATAATTTATATTGGAAATTGTTAAAATTGGAGAATAATAATTTTCGTTTTAATAGATTGGAGAATACCTTTTCAATTCAGTTTATACGTATTACATACTGGCCCTAAGTAATGTCAGCAGAAATAATAATAAATAAAATACCTTAAGATAATAATCGTAAAAAATCACTTAAATCGAAACTATATTTAAAAATAATCCGAATTAACCAACTTATAATTAATCTAATCTATTCTAAGTAGGTACATTACTAGAATAAAACTAAAAATAAAGTAGGCACGACCTAACGTTTTTCGACCTAACTTTAGGTACGCATCAAAACCTACTTACCACCTAAGAATAATGCCTACCTAACACCTACCTAAGTTTAAATAATCTTACTTAACCTATATTTCCTACCAAACCTATTCTTGCGTCCTACCTATTTGATGTGGTTTCAGTGCCTACCTAACAAAAAAAGTAAAAAAAAAAATAAAAAAAAAAACGCAGACCTATTCGGTGTTTATATTTAACCAGACATATGTGACCTTTTTAATATGTAAACTTATTATAATAATCGTTATAAATATTTACCTTATGTAATTCATAAATTAATCGTCAAATAAGTATAATATGTAACACAGTGTACTATTATAGAGGTATATTTTTCTTAAAGGCTAATTTTTTTGTTATTCACTTCAACGAAAATACCGAAAATCTGTATCTTACATCCAAATATCGTTGCGGTAACTTAAAATTGTAACGCTTAAGAATAAAAAAAAAACGTATAAAGTAAATAGGTACAGCAACCCTGTATAATTCACGGGCTCTTTCTCCGTCAAATAATAACGTATTGAATAAGTACATTAATACAGTAACTTGCGAATTCCGTCTCTTACAATCTCACTCAAATTAACTTAATAAACTTTCAACATTTTGTTGCGTATCTTCTTTATACTCCTCTTCATAATGTCTCATGTAGGTGTGTCCCAATGTCCCTATTATTATTATTATTTACAATCGAAAAATAAATAGGAAGAAGGTGTAAATCGAATACAGTATTATTATCACAATTTGTGAAATAACCAATAAAAACATAATATGTAGATAGGTGTATTTAGCCTCGAATATCCTAGTCACGTTTTAAATTGCACTATTATTAACAAGTTCTATAATTCATATTTAAGAATATAATAAAATGTTATACATTCGATCTGACTTTAATTTAACGTAACTTTATCGAGCGTTTTACGCAAAATAGTACGCTTTACTTAATTCTTACTTAAACCATGCATAGAAAGATATAAATATTTAATGACCCGTCAGTCAAGATTCTCTATACCTTCGTACAAAAAAGAGGTCAACTGTTTAATATACCAACTAAAAGTACCACACTTTAAAGTATATTTAACAAACTCAGCTTAAAATTTATAGATTAGATGAATAGATAGAATTTTAGATTAAAAAAGATATTATAATAACCCCGTCAGTCAAAACACCTGATACCTTTGTATAAAAAAGAGGTCAACTGGTTTAATATACCAACTTAAAATATTACACTTTGAAGTATGTTTAACAAACTCAGCTTAACAAGGAATTTTAATAATTCCGTCAGTCAAAATGCTTCATACCTTTGGATAAAAGAGGTCAATTGCTTTATAATATGAACTTAAAATACAATAGTTAGAAGTATGTCAAACAATTTTAGATTAAACAGATATTATAGTAACCCCGTCAGTCAAGACACCTCATACCTTTGTATAAAAAAGAGGTCAACTGCTATAATATACCAACTTAAAATACTAAAGTTTAAAGTATACCTAACAAATTAAACTTAATAAGATATTTTAATAACTGCGTCAGCCAATATACTCTATACTTTTATATAAAAGAGGTCAAATTGCTTTATAATACGAACTTAAAATACTACACTCTGAAGTATGTTTAACAAATTCAGTCTTAAAAATATTGTAGAAATATAAAGACGTTAGGTAGGCGTAGATCAATGTAGCATAATGTGAACATAATAGAAACATACGTAGGTATGTAGCTATTTACATATGAATAAATTTTCTTCGCCTAAATAAATTATCTAGGTGAAGAAAGTATTTTATTCACAGTCATTGGAGGCTCTTTGTTTGTATAATATTTTAATATACGTCATCTTATATTCTATTGTTCGTCCTAATGTGAACGTAACTAAATAAGTATTGTAACCCTGAACGATCCATGGGCTCTTCCCTACTATCATTTTCAAAATATAAAAAAACTTAAAAGTTTGTTGGCGCATAAATATTAGAATACTTATTAAAAAATAACGAATTGTCAAAAAACCTTGTCAAGGAATCTTTGATTTCTTAAATTCAGCCCTAATTTCATTTTTCACCTACGAACAAATATAAATAAAGATCTGAAAACTATTTTTGTAAACTTAATATATTTTTATGTTTTTTATGTATACCGTCAATCCTAAAGACTCAGCCAATCTTTACAAAAAAGAAGTAATAAAATTATATTAATAAAAATCCTATAAATAAATAAATTCCGACCTAGGCTCATTTTTCCAACGTGAAATCATAAATAAAGTAGTGAAAACCGCTCGTAAATGTAATACCTATATGTATATTATCCCGTCAGTCATAACTTCGTATACCTTTCAAAAAAGTGGAAATTTTAACTAGATACTCCGTCAGTCCTAAAAACTTCTTCAGTCTTTATATAAAGTAAGCCAAACACGTTATTTCTTCAATTTCCTATTTATACACGTTTCTTAAAACGGTACTTAAATGTGATATTAATAAAATCCATCCACATAAAGACTTTAAAAAACTTTGTAATTTTCAAATTTTATTTATATTTCTCCTACAGAAAATAATAAATATTGGCAAACCAATTCGTAAACTTAAATAATTCCTTCAGTAGTAAATACGCCAATCTTTAAAAAAAGAGGTCAATCACAAAATAGTATTCATAAACATATTGTAAACATTAAACTGATATTTAGCTCTAGGTTCAATTTTCTCCTACGGAGTCATAAATAAAGACCTGAAAATTATTCGTCAACTAATAGAAGTAAAAGCCAGTAAAATAATATTCCGTCTATGTTTTCCAAAAAGAGGTTAATAATAAAATTAAAAAATTCCCGTCAGTCATAAAAACTGGGTCATTGGTTAAATAAAAGAGTTTGGTGAACAGTTAATTTGTAGTTTTAG